TAGAACAATGGACCAAGGTTCGAATCCTCGCAGCGATCGGATGTAGGTCACAGAACCTGAAATAAGGCTGAGTCTCTTGTGCGCACGCGTGTATGGACATACCGCCATTCTACTGATTGAGTCACCGTGACTAACCTCCCCATCATCCTGTCGGGTCGGGGTGGGGGCTCCTGGGGTGGGAGATTCCACCTTTTGGAACAATTGTACACCGCTTGAAGTCTCTTTACCTATTATTGTACAAAGAGTCTCTTTGTACAATATTAAAAAATCAGTTAATACTTTAATTTTCAATGTATTTTTTGTTCTGGAAATAGGATTCTTTCTGGCTCTAACTGTAATAGCTAACCTAATTTCATCACATGTTCTAACTCTTCAATGGTTTATTGCAGGTGTTGAGCCACTTGAAGAATTGCTCAAGTTGGTAAACTTCCTTTTCAAAATACTTCGGCTTTTCAAGAATTATTATCCCAAAGCTCAATTTCTGGTTCTGTTCAGGCTTTCTTAATTTTCACTCTCCTGAGTTTTTTAGCTTTAGTGTACTCAATTTTTTCTTATGGGTTGTGGTTGTCCTATAGAAGAGGTAACTCTTCCTCGTGTGTTTCTTAATCAATCAAAACATTCACATAAATATAATAGTACTCCTCGGTCCCATAAAGAATGATGCATTTTGACTTTTCTTGATAAAGAATGGTTAAGTTTGACCAATGATATCTTTTAATACAAAATTATTTAAAATATGAAAATTATATGATCATATTCTTTATTAAAAAATCTTACATAAAAGTATAAAATTTATAAATTACAAACAAATATAATACCTAAAATCATTGTCTAAACTTTACCATCATTGAACAAGAGAAGTCAAAATGTATCAATCTTTTTGGAACGGATGTAGTATTTGATTAGTTATTTTTATTTATTTTTTGAATAAAATCGTCTTTTCTGTTTAAAAAAAGATTAGTTATTTTTCTTTGTAATTTTGCTTTATTTGTCTATTATTTGTTACCCACTGTTAATGTACTTAATAGAATTTATGATATGCCAGGTGGATAAGGAGCATTACAAAAGTCGAGCAGATACAGAAGATGAAGAACTTCTATGAAGTGAAATCTATGTTTAAATTATTTGTTTCATAGTGTTCCTCTTTATTGTTTTAGTTTGTGCTAAATTAGCTCTAGATATGAATATCACTGATGGTTATAGAGATTGTGTATGTATTAGTATGAGGGAGCAACTTATGTAATCACTTTGATGCATACTTGTATGATTACCTTTATTTTCAATTTCACTTATGTATTAACTCAGTGTTAGGTTAAGGGAGAATTGCCTAAATAGGACTAAATGAAGCTTTAATTGCTAAAATAGGACCATAACTTAAAAATTCCCTAAATAGGACCAGCTTTCCAATTCTCTACCCTTTCTTTGTTTTAATACAATTCATATTTCATTAATAATTCAAATATAAAGTAATAAATATAACTTTATTTATAATAAAAATGTAGAAAAAATAAAATACACGACACAATTTTCTTTGAAATTAATAAAAAAAAAATCAAAAAATAAAAATTTATAAAATAAAAAACTTAAAAAATAACAATAAAATAAATACTCCGTATATGATGTAAAAAAATATTAAAAAATATGCAGGGCTATGCTGCCGCCTTAGCAACCTCCCAGCATCACCAGATCCGATCACCCGAAAAAAATGCCAACATGTGTCAGTAATGCCATGTTGGTGGCAGTTTTCGAGAAAAAATTTGACATTTTCAAGAGTAAAAATGCGGGAAATGGTCATAAATAAGACCGTAACTTATCCTATATACCCGAATAGGAGTGCCTACTTTTTAAAACCTAAATAGGACTATAATTTAACATAATGCCACTTTTGCCCTTGATTTAATTGTAGCAGTTATCGTCGGTTGTCCTCTTCTCTTTGCCGTTGATGTCTTCTCTTCTGAATAGAAATTCGATCTGCCTTCGCATCTCTGCTCCTCCTGAATTCTTCTTCCGACGAGCGAAATGGAGACTAGGCTGGGCAACGATTTCACCTCAAAAATATTCATTCCAGATCTGAAGCTTCACCAGAGGCTGCCGCTGAACGAGGCCGCCACTGCAAGTAGTTAAGGTGGCTAGATAGGAGGCCGTCGCTGTAAGTGATGAAACTCACCGGAGATGGAGGCCGCCGCTGCAATTGATGAAGGTAGCCGGAGATGCTTCCTTGCGGTTCATGACTATGAAATCAGTCCAATATGTATAGCCAAGATTCAATAATTAATAAAAAAAAATTAAAAGATGGTTTCTTCAAAGAGCATTACGCTTTCGGTGTTCCAGAGATTCAAGCTTCCAGGCCGCTGCTTTCTTTCTTCTTTTTTAATTATTATGATATTTTTTAAACTAAAACAATTTCTTTTATCCATGTTATGACTTTATCTACAGAGCACTATCGTAATTAGATGTTTAAAATTCTTGACATTTTATAGGGTTAAATTGTTGTAACAATTTTCACACATATTTCTACATTTTGATTAGGTATGGACTCGGGCCGGGTGGCCCGACCCGGAACCGGCCCGGGACCGGTACTGTTCCGGCCCGGCCCGACCCGGGACCGGTACTGTTCCGGCCCGGCCCGACCCGGTGGCCCGGTCAGTGACCGGTCCGGGTAGGCCCGGCCCGTGGGTTTTCCGGTCCGGGCTCGGGTCACCCAAAACAAGGCCCGACCCGGCCGGGCCCGGGCCCGGTTCGGGCCAAAAACAATTTTCTTTTTTTTTTTCAATTTTTTTAAATTTTTGGGTTGGGCTGGGTATTTTGGGCCATTTGGGGTGGTTTGGGGGTTGGGGGTGGGAGGGGGGTTAATTAGGAAGAGGAAAACAAAAAAAAAATATAATGGGCCCGGCCCGGACCTGGTGGTTACCCGGGCCGGTCCCGGGTCCACCATTTCTGACCCGCCGGCCCGGACCCGAGTCCACCCCTAATTTTGATACAACTTAAAATATTGTGACATTGCTTAGTTTGACAATGTTTACAATGACAATGTTTATAATGACAATGCCATATTTTTAAAAATTATCATTGCCATGACATTGCCACATTGAGACTATCATTGCCATGAAAATGTAGATGATATGTCATTGTCACAATTGTGATAATGGTTGTGTAAACAAAATAGATGATATCAAGTTGTTAATGATAATAATCTTAACACAATATATCTAATGTCATGGCAATGTCATTGACATTGTCACGGCAATGTCATTGACATTGTCACTGTCACGGCAATGTCATTGCCATTGTCACGGCAATGTCATTGGCATTGTCATGGCACTGTCATTGGCATTGTCACGACAATGTCATTTTCATTGTGTCATTTTAATGGCATCTAATAACATTCGCATTGTCACGAAAACAGTCATTGACTTAGCATTGACATATTATTACAATGCCATTTTTATATTACTAACGTTGACATTGCAATGTCATTTTTATAGCATTCACAAATTACCATAGTCATTGACATTGTCATCTTCACAATGTCATTTTTTATAACATTGAAATTTGTTTTCAAATGATGACATTATTATATTACTAAGTACTTTGACAATGATGTGTTATTCATGACATCCACACCATTACTAAGTTCATCACCGAAGAAAGTACTTACAATGTCATTAGGGAAAACTGTCAAAAAAGCCCTCGTACTATATCGAAAAAGTCAATTAGATCCTCATACTTTAAAAACATCCAATTAAGCCTTCAAACTTTTAAAAAATGATCAATTCAGCTAGATTACAGGTGACGAGCTGTTTTCCCGGTTAATTAACCCACGTGGCAATTACTAAGGTTTCCATTTTTTTCTTTTGTTTCTTCCTTGGCTTCTTGTTGCCATGTGGACTCTTCCCCACTACTTGATTTTCCAACCAGTTCCAGATCAGGTCCATCGTTGTTGCTGGAGGACAAAGTGGGCCTTGCATCGTTGCTTCCGGAAGGGAGGGGTTAGCTTCGACCTTCACCGCCACCGGAGAGGGGGAAGCTTTAATGGTTTAGCAGGGGACTAGGGAGGTTTGCGTTGGACGACGTCGGGATCTATTCAACTACCGGTGCCATATTTTCCGGCGATTACAATAGAGGATGTTTCATTATTTTTGTTTTATTTCATCCATAAAAGCTGTCATGCCATAAAGCAAGCCTCCTTTCCCATCTTCGTTTAGCATCGGATCGTTTACCACTGTTTGTGATTTTCGTCAGGGACGTGGGACAAGGAACAGTTTGCCATTCACCATTCAAGGATGCAAGCCCTCGCCGTGTGCAAGAAAATCTCAATGACGTCGGATGCTCAAAAGTCAAACCCTGTCATTCGCCGCCTGGCCGAGGATGCCATATGTCGTGATTGCCATGGACTGCCATGTGGCCCGTGTGTGGTGACTGCCATCAACTCGAATTCGTGCCATGCGAGGAAGAAGAGTACAAGACAGAGAAATAGAATGAAAGAAAAAGAAAAGGAAAATAAAAGGGAAAAAGATGGTTGACCGGGAAACCGACAGTTAACCGGTGAATAAGCTGAATTGGTCGTTTTTTTAAAGTTTGAAGGCTTAATTGGGTGTTTTTAAAGTACTAAGATCTAATTGACTTTTTCGATATAGTACGAGGGCCTTTTTGATAGTTTTCCCATGTCATTATTAGTAATATTGACATTAACATTGTAATTATTTAAGATAATGACATTTTAGTAAAGATACTATTTTAAGGTCCGGAAAACCGGACCGGACTGTAAAATTCAGGTCTGAGTCGGTCTGGACCGGTTAGTAATAGGTCCGGTCTTCGGTCCTCATAAATTTAAGATTCCGGTTCCGATCCGGTCCAAGCAGCAGCTACCCGTCGACCGTCCCCTTCTTTTTGCATAGGGCTTCTACAAGTACCAGGGACAGAGTCTCACCCACTCTCTATCTGTTAGATTGGGATTATAGTCCAATTTACATCCTCCCAACGTACCGTCCGGTCGGGGTTAGGGAGCTCTCAAGGATGGGTGTCATCATTTATATCATTGACATTGAGATTATTACAATGTCACTTTTATACCATTGACATTAACAACATGATTAAAACAAACTTCTTTTTATTGACAAGCTTCTTCCTTTTTTTTACTAAAACAATTTTGTCATTGATTAAAATGTTGTCATTGATTAAAAACTCCAACAATTTTAGTTGTTCTGCATTTAATCATCATCTTCAAAGTCTGAATCGTCAGTGACCTCGGCAGAATCGTTGGCATCACCATCTTCAATTCCTCTTCATAATCGCTGAGTACATAAGTTGTCTTCGGACGGGTTGACCTCTGTGGTCTGCTTCTTAATTGTACCCGCCGCCATAGAGTCATTGACTGATGCTGCGGAAGATCCCCACTCACATCATGTTGTTGTTCTTCACTTTCAACGGAACAACACCCAGAACCGTAGAAGCATATAGCAGGTGTATAACAAGGCAAGAAACTCGCTAACAGGGAGGAAGAGAGGAAGACAGAGGAGGAGGAGGCTATCCGCCCTGTCGTCGACGACCACTGTGATGATGACTCGCAGCGGTGATAACTCCGGCAGGCGGCAACCAGCGGCGGACCGGCACTGAACCGTGGCCTGCGACCGGCAAGAACAATTAATTCGTTGATGAATCCGGTGGTCATGGTCCTTATAGGCTCTGGAAGAACAGATGGATGGCTGCCCGTTCAAATTACGGAACTTCTTGGAAGCCGAAAAAAATAAGGGTGTTTTTGTCCCTTTGTTCAAAATTAGCCCTATTCGAGGGTTTAAATGTTTTAACTCCTATTTACATTCTCAGCTTATGTTTTAGTCTTGTTTAGGTCTATTTCCCTAAAAATGCCATCTTCATGGCATTTTCAGAGAAAAAATGGCAGTTTTTACACAAAATGACTTTTTTAGGCGATCAGAGATAAAGTTGATGGGTAGTAGCCAAGACAGTGGGAAAGACCTCCATATTTGTTTTATATTTTTTAGGTGTTTTATTTAATTTTTATTTATTTTTAAGGTTTTATTTTTAAAATTTTATGATTTTTCGTATTTTTTAAATTTGTTGTATATTTTAAGGTTTTCATATTTTCAATATTTTAGAATCGTTGTATGTTTTATTACGTTTTTTTGTATAAGTTAAATTATTATTTATTATTTTTTGTATTTATTACAAATTAAAATATGATTATCCTATTGAGTTGTGTTAAGGGTAGAATAGGAAGATAGAGTATACTTTAGTCCTATTTGGGGAAGATAAATAACACAGTCCTATTTCTTCATTTAGGGATTAATTTAGTCCTATTTAGGGTTATTATCTCTTATGCTAATTGAAATTTAATATTTTACTTTCTGTATTTGTTACTCCATATTAGATTTAAAGCCCCCTGGGTGACTTTGTTTTTCCGCCGAGCTCCCCGTTGTCTGTTTTGCAAGTTAACCAGAGCCCTAAAATCTTATGGATTTCGTCAGTCATATGCTGATTACCCTTTATTTACCTGTCGATGAGCCAATGATTTTTTATGCATTCTCATCTATGTTATGATTTGCTTATCACAGGAGATAATTCTCAATGGGTTTGTGAATTTAAACATTTTCTCGCTACATTATTTTCCTGTCAAAGATTTGATACGTCTTAAATATTTTCTTAGCCTTGAGGTAGCAAGAAATCCCACAGGCATTTTCTTATGCCAATGAAAATACACTGAATATTTTGCGCGAAACTGATCTTAGTCATGCAAAAACCAGATTCATTTTCAATGGTTCAAAACCATCATCTTCACACTGATGACAGACCTCTCTATTCTGATGTTGCACGATATTGACATCTAGTGGGGAAGCTTATTTATCTCACCTCAATTAATATGTCCCGACATCTAATACTCGGTGCATGTTTTGGCTCAATTTATGCAATCTCCACGCCAAGCACATTGGGACGTTGTTGTTCGATCGGGTTCTACGTTATCTTAAAGGTTATCCAGGACAGGGGGTTTTATTGCATGCCGACTCACCCCTTCATCTTACAGGTTATTGTGATTCTGATTGGGCTTCTTGCCCGCTCACTCGACGTTCGGTCACTAGCTATACAAAGAAGCAAGCTACTATCTTCCGATCTTCTGCGGAAACCGAATATCGATCCATGGCTACATTATCTTGTGAGCTTATATGGTTGAAAGCTTTTCTCAAGTCTCTAGCAATTCCTCATTCTGAAGCAGCAAATATATTTTGTGATAATAAAGTTGCCCAAATAATGTGTTTGACAAACTCACTAAACACGTTGACCTCGATTATCATTTCATTCGTGATCATATCCAAGCTAGAACCAATTGCCAATATATTTACCAAATCGCTTGGTGCTCAGCAGTTTTCCTAAAGAGATAATTACCCTAGATATGACTAAAACTCAATGAGTTTCATAATCTATGACCTAACTAGTTTTTTTATCAAAATAATACTAAAAATCATAATATTTAATTAAAATTCGTAATTAATAAATAATAAATTAATTTTATGGACAAATATACTCTTTAGCTTATAACTATAAAACCTCAACCTCCTATTCCTTTTCTACAACCCTAGCTATAACCTCCCATGCCCACCCGCGCAGCCGACCTGCCGTCCAATTCCGCCCGTCGTCTAGCCACGACCAACCGTCCAGCGCCGCCGCCAACCGTCCAGCGCCGCCGCCTTCCATAGAACTCTGGCCTAGGAGCATAGTTGCCAACCCAAAAGCAATGTGGCTTGCTGGCCATTTGTCTGCACGACCTGGGTGCAAAGGTGCCGCCCCACGACCCACTGTCCACCGGTGCAACCGGTTGTTTGCTTGCCCGGCCACCCGTAGCCCCACGCCTTCTCGTCAGAGTCACCGCCCATACTAACGCCAGCGCCCGCGGCCGTCCCGATCCATGGGCGCCACCATCCAGTCGCCCACCATCTTCTCCTAGATCCACTGATGGAAAGTGTGTGAAACCTAGCAGGGAGGGGGAGTGCGGCGCAGGTTACTTACGTGAAGTGAAGATGGGCTTTTAGTTGTTACGTGAAGATGGGCCTCTTACATTAAGGGTTTGTAGCAATTTGTGTAATGCATTGAATGCGGAGGGCACTACTCTGGAATCTGGATTCACTATTGTGTTGGCCATCAATTCTCCTTTATGCTTTTCTATTTTAAAAATTAGAAGTTTCTAAAATTAGGGTTTGTGGGCATTAAATATGGGCATTGAAAATCGGCAGTGAACATTTCAATAAGTGTTGAGTATTGGAGTGAATATATATGGTAATAGACATGTTGTACATAACAGTGAATGCATGCATTAAGAATTTTTGTTGTACAGTGATTATGACCAGTATTGCAGTAACACAGAGCAGTAATATCTTCATTAAATGGAATATACTTAATTAGACGTAAAATAATTAAATTATTAAATCTAAAAAAAAATAAAAATAAAAACTAAAAATAAATTCCTCAAGTGAATGAGAAGAGAATTAATTTTGGTGGAAGTGCAGTAATTATTACCGGATGTGCAGTAAAGTCGTGCATTAATGCCGTGCAGTAACGTCAATACAAAGTGCAGTAATTTTAATTGGATACAATTAGTGAAAATGCACATATTCTAAAATAAGGGTATTTTCGTCATTCAATTTTTAAATATTAGCGATTTTTTTTTTGGATTTTCGGTCATACAAAAATCTAAAAACTAGTTAGGTCATAAATTGAGAAACTCATTGAGTTTTAGTCATATTCTAGGAAATTTCTCTTTCTTAAATACTGTCCAAGTTGGCATTTGGGATCGACATGCTACAATTTGAGGGGGTATTATGTATATATTGTAAATATGTATACTTTAATATTCAAATCGTAGGAGTAGATATAGAGGCAAGCTTTCGTATCTCTTCTTTCCTATTTTATTTTTTTTCCTTTTATTACACATACGTTAGCATATTTGGAGCAGATTTCTTTCCTTATATGTATAAATGTTTGATCGAGCAGCTCAGCAGCTTGAAGGGACAAGAATAAGAATTCATTCTCTTTTTATTAGCAATAACTCTTGATGAATCCATAGAAATGATGAAGTTTATTCTCCCAAGGATTTGTGGTGTGGATGTTTCAAAATATCAGACTTGTAACTTGTAAAAGTTGTCGAATAACGAAGGCCTCCTATTATTCCTTTTCTTCATTGTTTTGCCACTTCTGCCAACTGTGGAGGATGAATAGGAACTTCTAGTGTTAGTGACGTGTCATACTCCCTCCGTCTTGTTAAGATTGACTCATCTTTCCTTTTTGATTCATACAACTAAGAATGTCTTATACAAAATTTGATAAAGTTTGTGTGTTCTAAATTATTCTTGCTTTATTCTTACTTTATCTATATATATTCAATATCTAAAGTTTGTGTGTCATCTTTCCTTTTCGATCCATACAACTAAGAATGTCTTATACCAAATTTGATAAAGTTTGTGTGGTTCTAAATTATTTTTGCTTTATTCTTACTTTATCTATATATATTCTTATCAACCACATAAACTTCCAATGTTAGTGAAACTGAGGTAGTAACATAAATCGTGTATGTTCAAATATTTTGAACCGATGGGTGCCATGTCAGCATTGCAGGAATCACCCATTCTTTACCGGTAAAAAAGCTAAGTTGCGTTTTTTTGTAGAGTTCATGGGTTTGATCGGGTGATAGTTGAGTTGGGAGTCTTGACTGATATTTTCGAAATAATAGGAGGATTTATTTGAAATTTTTCTAAAACAGTAATATATAATTTTGGAATCAAGAGTAAACAATATAATGGGTTTGGCGAAAAAATTCCAGCATAAATGCATAATGCCGTCATATCATGCATGGCTGTATACATGGCCGGAAAAGTTAATTTAATGCATGCATGTGGTATTTCATTTCAAGAAAATATCTCCTTTATCCAATCCCACCACTTGTTAGAGGTAATTAAGCATAAGAGCCCTACATAAGATTCTTCTGATTTGTTCCCTAGGTGGCTAGGAATGGAAAAGCAATTATATTCTTCAACAAGAAGCAACACTAATAGCTTCAACTTAACTTTTTAATTAGCTAACGTATATATGAAAAAATACCTTAGATATATACAAGTAATATATCCTTGTAATATTATACACAACATGTGTAAATCACAAATATGAGTAGTAGCATCTTATAATAAAGAATGATTTAATGGACTAAATTACCTCATAATTTTGCATGTCATATTTACTTTTATAATAAAAAATAAATAAAAAATAAAAAAAAATAAACCAAGGCCACTACTGTCCCAAATTATATCGCACAAGTGGTACAATCGACTATATCATGTGCATGGTACAACCGAGTTTCAATTAGGAGCGGAATGGATAGGTTTCAACTTTCAATCAACGGCCCATTGCATGATGGGAACTGTTTTGGAAATTAATTTAAAGGAATTTAAAGGAATTACTATTTATAAATAGAATTCAACTATAAAACTAATTATTGTTATTGGAATTTAATATTTAATAAGTTTCTTTTATATCTATTTTTGTGTCTTGGGACTTTTTTGTGTTGCTTTTGTTGTATTTTGTTTATAACTTTTTAGTTGTTTGTTTATGTTCGTCCATGTTTCTTGTTATTATATACTCCGTATTGTTTTTATATAAATTTATATTTGTCAGGGGTATGTGCATGTAGTTTTGTATGACGGATACA